TTAAATTAGACAATTATTTTTAATATAGTAAAGAAATACCAATAATTTGGTCAACTTTTTTTTTACTTTCTTTAACCATACCCCGTTGTATTTTGAAAATTTTAGATTCACAATAAATTATTGATATTTCTTGATTTATTATAAGACTTTTTTTATTAGCATTAATACTATGTTATTGTTTGCAGTTCTCTTCAAAATTATTATTATTATTATCATTATTATTATTATCATTATTATTATTATTATTATTATTATAAAAAATCAATCTCCAAAGGTTGATTTCTTTTATCTTTTTTGGACATAATCTTTTTCTTTACTATATATACATTCTTTTAGCAATATTTTTTATGTCACCGTGAAAATATATATACCTTAAAATACATTATTAAAGGGTAAAAAATCATTTCCAAAGTTTGATACCATAACAACAATTACAATCAAAGTTAAAATATATTTCAAAACCCTTTTCTTTTTCTGTCTTGTTAAATCTTTACTCATATCCGATATTTTGTTAAATACATACTATATTATTTGTTTATCACTCATCTATTAATTGAGAAGAGATCAATTAGCATTTTTGTGACTGCTATGATTTGAACTCATACTATCCACCTTGACATGATGCTTCTTTTGCAGCCATTGTCTGGAAAATATGGTGAGGAAACATAAAAGTATCAATTTCAGCCAAGAGATCCAGGGACAATAGTATAGTCGGTCCACAATATATCTAAAGAAGAGATAAATAATTATGAAATGATTAGTTTAGCAAAGTTGATTACACTATAACAAAAACAACTTTTAGCGTATACTGGTATTATTAAGTGCTATTAGAACCAATGACGCTAAAGGTTTTGGGGACATATACCAAGAGTGACAATTGCCGCTAAAAATAGTGTTAAGAGCAACTAAAAGAACAACTATATTGCTTTGCTATTTTGAGCCAATAATAATATTTATTTGTATTCTTGATTATGTTCATTTATAAATTAAAATTGAAAATCTTAAAAAATATATCCTCCAACATACATTATATTTAGAGAAATGTTGTAAAGGTGGTTGTTGATGATATAAACAAAGTGGAAAAAAGCTTGTGTATGTATGATTTTAATGCTTGTGCCAACTTTTAAATATTGCTATATATGATAAAGAAGTGATCAAGTCATCACTTACTTAATTCTAAGGTAAGTTAGAGTCATATTTATGAGCTATACAATGTAAGCGTAGTTCACAAAGCACTGCAAGTGTGGATATATTGAGACATGCAAATTACCATTTGTACATGAGTTTGGTCCTAACTCGAGTTCATGGCCAACAATGATTCACATCATATAGGTTTAGTGTTTACAAATTTATAGGGAGGAATCAAGGGTTGGCAATAGTCTTGCTCTTTACATATATACCTGGCTTTTGTTGGTGGCTGCACCCACACATCACGCGCTACGCTCTTACCGTTGGACCAAAGCCTTGTGGGATTTCTATTATGTATATTCCAATGGCTTGACCACTCTATTTGTTTTTCCCCTTCCTAATTGCTATGTAGGAGAATAGAGATGTAGTTTTGTAGGTTGCTTGTCCTTCTTGGGAGATACTTGTAAATTTATCCAATTTAATGAATATTTGGATTTCAAATCCATACTATGTTCCCGTTTATCTTTCTGATCAATTTTCCCTTTTGTATATGATTTATCTATGATGTTAATAAAGAATATATTGATTAAATGTCAGTTGATTACAGGAACAATGATATAAATTTTAATTAAGGTCATAAATATTGCCGCTAAAATTTATGAATATCGTCGCTAAAGGTCACTTTAATGGCAACAAAAACCGCTGCTAAAAGAAAGTATTAATATTGATAAAAGTGACTTTTACTGGCGACAAAAACAGAAGTTGTCGCTAACAGTTACTTTTAGCGGCGAAAAAAATTGCCGCTAAAGGTCATTAAAATCGTCGCTAAAAGTTTTGAATATCGTCGCTAAAGGTTATGAAGGTCGTCGCAAAAAGTTATTAATCGTCGCTAAAAGTAATGAAGGTCGTCGCTAAAAGTTATGAAGGTCGTCGCTAAAAGTTATGAATGTCGTCGCTAAAAGTTATGAAGGTCGTCGCTAAAAGCTATGAAGGTCGTCGCTACAAGTTATGAAGGTCGTCGCTAAAAGTTATGAAGATCGTCGCTAAAAGTGATAAATGTCGTCGCTAAAAGTGATAAATGTCGTCGGTAAAAGTTATGAAGGTCGTCGCTAAAAGTTATGAATGTCGCCGCTAAAAATGTCTTTAGCGACGACTAGTACCGTCGCTAAACATGAACGTCGTCGCTAAAAGGGCTTTTTGTCGCAACAGAACTGCTGCTAAAAAAAGAATGTCGTCGCTAAAACTGACTTTTAGTGGCGACTTATTCCGTCGCTAAAAGTTATGAATCTCGTCGCTAAAAGTTCCTTTAGTACTGACTTTTATGAGCATTACGAGCGACTAGAGTTGCCACTGAAACCTAATTTAGTGGTGACCTTTAAAGCCTTATGGTGACTATAACATACTATTCGTGGCAATTAAGTTTAGGCATTAGCAGAGACTATAACAATATTTTAGCGGCAAGTCTTATACTTATTCTTAGTTGCTAATGTTGCCTCTAAAATTTTTATTTAGTGGCTATTAATGTAGGTATTAGCAGCGTTTAATGTTGCTACTAAAACATTCTTTTAGTGGCCACTACTATACTTATTCACAACGACTAAAAGCTATGAAACTCGACGCTAAAATTTAGTTTTTGCGGCAACTAAAACCGCCAGTAAAAGCTAAGAATGTCGTCATGCATCTTTTAGTGGCGATTTTTACCGTCGCTAAAAGTTATGAATGTCGTTTTTATGGCGTCTAAAACCACCGCTAAAAGTAATAAATATCGTCTCCAAAAGTAATGAATATGTTTTAATATTTGTTTTTTAGTTTTATATATATTTCGACAATTAAAATAAATGATCTAATTTTAATTTCTTTTAATATTTAGTCAGGTAACTAATGCTTACTAAACTTATTTTACCATGATTTAGTACTTTAAATTATAATTGATCAATTCCATTATGACTTATTAATTTGCAGCATTTATTTTATTTAATTTTTTTAATTTTCGATTATTATCATCAAAGGCATTACAGATCGGCGGCATCTCCAGAGCTCCGTAGAACTAACCGTGATGCACCCGCTTTGAAACGACGGGACCCTTTAGGTACAACTAATCGAATTCGCAAAGCGATATCTGAAAATCACGACAAAAAAAATATTTTATTTAAAAACCTTAAATCTGCAAGGAGTACTCTTTTCTCTTAAAGAAAATATCAAAATCAGTATTCTTCCATACCCATGCAAATGCACAATAAAAAATGAGTAGTGCCCCAAATTTTTTTATGAAATGAGAAATCAAATTTTTCATTCACTTTAAGTGTGTGAATTCCAAAATTGTCATCTTCATATTGATAATAAAGTTTGAGTCAATCAAGATTAATTAAAATATCTTGAACGTGCTGATTTTTTTTCAATCAAGATTAATTAAAATATCTTCTAAATAGTTTCAAAATTTAGATTTATGCTCTCACGATTTAAAATATTACACTAAAAACAATTCACATTTACCTTCACTGGGAAGAATGTTGACCAACCACATTTTATATAATAAATGATGATTGCTTCATTTTAAATAAAGAGGTTTGACTCAATGAATAGTTTTAAAAATAAAACTCCTTTTAAATGATAAAAGTTAATTCTGGTAATTGACTCAATTTTTCAGAAGAATCCAGATACAAATACAAAGTCAAACAAATTTTAATATTGGTTGAATCAATTATTATATCAATATTTTATAAATAATACAATCAATTTCATTTGCATTATGCAACACCATGTCTCTCAAAATGGATTCTTACTCCTACTCAAAAATTCTACTTGTATTATTTTTTTTATCACTCATCAACATCAATGCTAAGCCACTAACAAATTCTCCCATTCGTTTAAATCCAACAATTTATCAACGTTTTACGAGTGATCTTCCTCAAAATACATCTTTACTCAACATTCATTGCAAATCTAAAAACGATGATCTTGGAATTCAAACACTTAAACCGGGTGATCTATATCATTTCAAATTCCATATGAATTTTTGGGGCACTACTCTTTTTTATTGTTACTTTTCATGGGGTTCAAAGCATAATATTTTTGATGTCTTTAAACAACGTGGTGGCATTTGCTCAGATCATGGTGAACTTCTCAAAGATTACTATTGCAATTGGATGATGAGGGATTCTGGTATTTTTTTGGCTTATGGTCCTAGTCCTACACATGACGAATACCAATTTGTCCGTCCTTGGTTATTGTAAAGAAAATATTTCTTTTTTAAGTACATCTTTTATATATGAAATATTTTTTTTAAATATACTTGTGCAACCCCTCCTAATCTCATCACCGAAAATTAAAAGAAATGACAAATTTTATAGAGATTAAATGAGTCTCCAAGAAAGAATAAGAAGATCTTGCATCGGATTAATAAACCGATACGATTTTAATTATCTCATAAAAAACATTTTTAGCTTCAGATGTATCAAATGCTTAATAAATATCTGATTAACTATGTGTAGATTGTGATTTGTGAATATGATATAGATGTTTATTTGAGATTAAATTAGCATCAATTACAAATTAAAGTTGAAACTTCAGATTGAAATTAGGCAAAAAGAAACATCTATATTTCATAGTATGCAAGTAAAATTATAACTTTTTGGATTTTACAGTAGCAAATAATTTAGAGAACAATAAAATATTTGCGTAGAAAGATCATTGGCCAATTAACTAGCACATATGATATAGAAAACAAATTATAGTAGAAATTTAACAGAGATTTAATAAGGTTGGACTAAGCATAATTCTAAACAGAAATCAATTTAATTTTTTCATGATGACAAAAAAAAGGGGGTACAAAATAATGAATCCCCTAACTATACATCAAGAAGTCACAAACCTACAAAAGAAAGGTTTTCACAATCAAATTCAACACATAATTAACAATTTTTTTCTACTAACAACATGTAAAATACAATATGCAATCTTACTATAAATTTCTATATGAGGTTGTTTTCATAGCTAGGCTGAGCTTAAATATGTAAGACCTTTTGGTCACACGCGTAAAACTATGGGGTTGTTTGGGTGTGAACAAGTTATTTCAGGATCAATTATCTCGAGATCATATGCGATAACTTATCTCTATCACTTACTTGCATGCCTATCATGAAGTTGAATTAGTTAGTTACTTCCACTTCTTGAATTTGCCTCCATGATTCTTGCCTTTTTTGTGTTTTCCTTTCCCCTTTCCTTGCTTAAACTTGCCATGCCCCTTGCCATGCTTTCCATGATCATAATGTCCATAATGAGCAGTACCTTGTGCAGGGTGATGACCTCCACCGTGTCCCATATGATGAGCACCATACGCGGCTGCTCCAGCCGTTGCTACGCCAGCAACTGCTAATCCCGCCATCATTCCATGTCCTACGTACATATACAGATTCAGAATTTAAACTTTGAGTGAAAAAGAAGCTAATAACACTATGCTAGTTGGATAAAAAAACAATTTTCTACCACACATATGGTCAAAAAGTGTTTTATACCACAATTTTCAAAATCTTTCCTTTTTTTCCCTTTGTACCAAATCAAAGATTCACTTAAATTGAGACGAAGGAAAGTAATTGTGAGCACGTGTTATCTTTATATTCCATCTTTTACATTTTATTTTTTGTCATTTTTTTGTCTTTTAAAAGTGTTTTGTTACAATAATTGTATATCAAGCCACATCTAAAAGTAATTAAGCAATGATACCTCCATGGTGTGGAGCGGGTTGACCAGGATAACCCGCCTGTGGATATCCTTGTGGAGGATATCCTGTAGGCGGATATCCTTGTGCTGGAGGATACCCTTGTTGAGGAGGGTAACCCCCTTGCTGAGGAGGGTATCCTTCGAGTGCTGGAGTATACTGTCCCGGAGGATATTGACCTCCGAGAGGAAATTGACCTCCCGGAGGATACTGTCCTCCAGGAGGATATTGTGCATGCTTATCCTTTCCACCTCCCATCCTTCTCAAATACCTAGAAATGATTTAAAAAGGCAAAAATGGAATTAAGTTTCAAAATCATAGAATTGATCAAGAACCACATGAAATCAAATTGTTACACTTGCAATACTAATAATAAGCAGGACAACAAATAAGTGGAAATTAAAAGATAGCATGAAGTAATGTATATATGTGACCTCTTTTCATGTGACAAAGTTCTACTTTAGCTAGAAATTGTTAGAACTAATATGTTACATATGTTTAAGCAAGTGAATTGGGAAAAAATTGAAACAAGACAAATGAATATTAATTACTCTTATTATGACAATATTCTAAAAGGTCAAATTCAGGACGAAAAGATCCCTCAATTCTCAGAGATTACATAATAAATTCCTAAATAAGAAAAGTTTCAAACATGATCAAAAACCAGAAATTGTACATAAAATCGAGAACATTATATTTCTTACTGTATAAAAAAAAATACCAACATTGAAAATTCATATACACTAACCACAACAACAACAAAATCAATGTAATTTCACCGACAAAGTCCGAGGAAAATTCAAATAAATTAAGAAAAGTTCATGAAATGGAGAGGTTCCTTACAGATTTCCTTATGAAGATACAAAGTAAATAAAAAGTATATATTAATTAATTGAATGAAGAATTTGACAAGAGTGTATATAGATGAGTATTTATAGGCCCTTTTTACTATTTTAAATACTGTCCAACTCCACGTGTTAATTACATTATATATGACGTGATTAATTAATTACTACTAATTGAGGTGTTCAATATTTTTCTCCTCTAGAATTTCTAGTTTTTCAAAAAATTTTTTTATAAATATTCAAAAGTGAAACTCAAAAGCTTAACATCGTACACAAGTATTTACGTGGTGGAGCAATTGATAACCATAGTAAATGCAAAAGAGTATTTATGGTCAACCTTTTTCCACGACAAATTGACTTATTTTCTTGTTTTCCTCACTAATTGTAATGTTAATTACATATCATAGGCTTTTGACTTATTCCCCAAATAAATCTTTTTTATTTTCAACCTTTGAGTTTTGAACACCTCTCCATAATTCAAGCCAAATATCTTAATTATATACTAAATAGAAATTAAACTTTTATAATTTTTTCTCTAATGATAGGTCATTAGAGATGCAGGATAATATTAAGTGCAAAACTGTATAAGCCTCATAACAACTTAAATTAAGTAATCTATACTACATTAAATTATATAATCTATAATTACATGATAGACTAAAATGTAAAATACCAAAAAGACCCGAGCCCATGAATGGTTCTGCTTCGTCTGTCATACAAGCTTGTTGTTGGTACTATATTTCAACAAACAAAAGGGAAACATTTATCTTAAGTTTACTATAATGATTTACATATTATAGGAACAAGTATTCAAATCTCTATTTTGTCGATTTTTGTGTATTATCATTCATGTATTTTTAGTGATTTGAAATTTCAATTTTCTTTTTTGTCGAAAATTTTCATAAATGTCTGTTAAGACCTTAGCAATGGATCCAGTTGGACACGACAGACAAACCGATCCATTTTCAAGTTCCAACGAGTCCTAGAGCAGGTAAACTGTCATTTTACCTATTTTCGTGTGTTATAGTCCATGAATTTTGGGCGATTCGAAATTCCGAATTTGTTTTGCCAAAATTTTTCATTGACGTCCGTTAAAACCTTAGCAATGGATTCAGTTGGTCGCGGCGAGAAAACCAACACATTTCAAGGTCGAACGAGCCCAGAGCAAGTAAACACCCATTTTGCCGATTTTCATGTGCTATAGTCTATTGATTTTTTACGATCCGTTTTTGTTTTGCTGATACTTTTCATGGACGCATGCTAAGACTTTAACAATGGAGTCAGTTGGTCCCGACGGGAGATCCAACCCATTTTCAATGTCAAAAACGAGCCCCAAAGAAGGTAAACATCCATTTTGCCAATTTTCGTATGCTATAGTCTATTGATTTTTGGCGATTCAAAAATTCAGATTTTCTTCGCCAAATTTTTTCATGGACGTTCCTTAAGACCTTAACAATAGAGCCAGTTAGTCCTGATGGCCAAACGAGCTCCAGAGCAGGTAAACATTCATTTTAACGATTTTCGTGTGCGTTCATGAATTTTTGGTGATCCAGAATTTCAATTTTTTCTTTTCTGAAATTTTTCATGGACGTCTATTAAAACCTTGACAAGGAGCCAACAGGTACCGACTTGCGAACCGGCCCATTTAAGATGTCAAACGAGCCCAGAGCACGTAACTTTCCATTTTGTCGATTTTTGTGTGCTATAGTCCATGAATTTTTGGTGATCCGAAATTTTAAATTTGTTTTTGTCAAAAATTTTCATGAAAGTCCATTAAAAACTTAGGAATAGAACCAGTTAATCTCGACGGGCAAACCGAGCCATTAACAAGGTCAAGAAAATCTCAGAATAGATAAACTCTCATTTTACCGATTTTATTTGCTAGTCCATAAAATTTTGATGATCCAGAATTCCAGATTTCTGGATCCAATATTTGTGTTTTCATATCGTATGTACACAGCGTTGGCCATCTGTATAAGGGTACGTAAAGTGCGAGAAGATAGCGATCTCTGGCTTCGCAACCTCGATTTTTCAACGGCCTAGGTTTTTTAGTTACACATGTGTATAAGTGTAATTATGCAATAAAATTACCTAATTAAGAACCTAAATACATGTCCTTCAATCTTATCTTCTACATCAACACTAACAATTCATCCTTCCTCTCCACTGGAGGGTTTTAGAAAATAACCAAATAGGCCAAGAAGTTCTACTGATAATGTATTTGATTTAACAGCAAAATAAATATAAAAAAAAAACTACTAATAATTAAGAAAACTATAACTATTACCACACATCAATCCTGAGAAAGTTAGAATCATGAACTGTGGATGTCACTTGATTAAATCCAGCTCAGTCGAAAGTGAAGAACAGGAAAAAGAAAATGTGGATAGTAGCAGGCATAAAACACTGCAAAAGCTTACCGATTTCAAATCTATGCACCACAACTCACTACCAGAGTGAAGGGTTACAAAAAGGAGAAGTTACTAACTACAATGTTCAGTAGTACCAAGAAAAGCCCCTAATGTTTTACAGGAACTGCAAATTGGGGAATTTAAGAAGCCTTTTGAAAATGATTGGAAAGCAGTTTTGCGATCTCTAGAAACCCAACTTTGTCCTTGCCAGCAAATATTGTCTTCAACATGTCATCGCAATTTATCTCCTTCTTGTTTGCAGGGTTCTGCAGATCATGAATTTTACTTGTCAAAGGAAACTAAAGGGGGTATATATTGAATGTGTATACAACCTACTTCACACATTTGTTCAACTGTGGATTAAACATGTAGCCAATCAGATTAGATACTATTAACTAAAGAGAACTTTTTTTCTCAAACATCAGAAGGATGTGGATTGTCCTCAACCTGATAAAAAACTAAAAAAACCAATAATTATGATAGTTTTAGAAATCAATGACAATCATCTTGTTACAACAACACTCAAAATAAATCTATGCCTCGAACAACTAATAGAACGAATGCTAAATGATTATAAAACATCATCTCAAAGGCCATAGTGTAATATTTTTCCTAAAACCCCAAGTGTTGGTGATTGTTGATCAGTCACATGCTAACTACATTATTGTATTTTGATGAAGCAATACCAAATTTCAATATCAACACGCAAACAAAACTCTGCCCTAAAAATTGTTGCTGTTCTTTGCATCTAATAGTATCTCAAACAAATGAACTACCATGAAAAGGCATCTTTTACGAGAAAAATAACATAGAAAAAAAGTAGCAGGGCAAGTTACCGATCTCCAAAAAAGAAAATAGTAGGAGGGGAAGCAAATGGGCAATATAGAGAATCATGCTTGGCTACATTGTATTCTGCTTTTCCATCAAATACACTTTAAGAAGTATCTCATCAATATATCCACAACGAAATTATGCTTTTTAAGTTTGAGTATTGCATAGGTTGTTAAACATGCTTAAACTGCTGGCTTGTTATATCAGCAATTATTTTCAGCTTGGCCTTACAGAGGATGCCCCAGCTGGTAATACAAAGTGTTGACATAGATTGAGAATAAAAGCTCATGTATTATTCAGCATATGGCAACCAAATCGAACATCACAGTATTCCAGGGCCTCAAAGGCTCAAACCATGAGCATCCTACCTCTTCAGATAAAGTGCCGCAAAGTAAATAACAGAGAGGGAAGAGAGAATTGATCATTGGATGTCACATGCCTATCAGTAGCCTAACTCGTTACAGAGATTGTAACAACCTCAATGCCAAAATGTCAAGAGCCCTTCAAATCCCCACCGTCTAGTAGTCTACTCTCACAGGGTCCTTTGTTCCATTATCAGCCGGTATACTACTAGATAGGAAAAAAACCAATATCTTTTAATCTGGTGCACATTCTCAAATCATTGGTAAGACTTCCTAATCTCGCCGAAACAACTAGACTTTCCAAGAATGTTAAAATTTCCATCTAATATGTGATTGAGCAGAAAGATTCAACTATCTTATAACGAACAAAGCTAAAAGGATCAGACAACACTGATTGTTAATTGCATCTGACATTCTATAGCAGTCATTACTATATTGTTAATTATTGATACATCTTCCAGAAGCACAAGGAAAAACAATCATCCCTGTGCAAACTGTTTCATTAAAAGAAAACGCAATATCTTCCCATACCATGCTAACTATACACGTCACTTTTAGCACTTCGAATGTAATACTGTCACCCCTACAAACCTCTGGATTTGGATTTCTGCTAGGATATGGTAAACCAGCTAAAATAAGTACTTCTATTTTATCATCTAATAGGCTAGTTACTATACATCTACACTAACATTTGCATTTTACGACATTGTAGTTGATATAGCTGATACAAACAAAAAAATCCTCATTTTAGCAAAGAGTCTATTTTCACAGCTCAAATCCTTCAAAATGTTTCCAAATTAGTAATTTCATAGTACTATAGTCTATATCTAACAACTTCAAACATACATTTCTTCAAAAAAGGCTACTGCATAGAGCAATACTATCAACATGTGAAGGTTTATTCTCTATCATAAGTAACATAAAGAGGAAATGGAAAGTAGACCTGAAGATTATTGGTTTTGATGTAATCCCAGATTTTCTTAACAGCATCAGTACGTGAGATTTCAGAAGTACCGACAAATTTTTGTAGAGCAGGTGAAATCGGTTGAGGTTTCAGTATGCCTTTAGAACGACCTTTTCCAGCCGCGGTTGTTGTGGTGGCCGGAGGTGTCTTTCCAGCGGAGTTCTTTGCAGCAGCCATTAGAGTTCGGCAATAGTTTCCGAAAACCCTAGAAGATGATGCCATGGTTTTCCTTGGATTCTGCAAAACCCTAGAAGCTAACAATGGAGAAATGGTGAACTCAAGGTTTTTGGTACGTAGGAATGGCAAATTCGTAGTTTAAAGTGGAAAATTTTGCTTTTTCGGGTTTTACTGTGTTTTTTGAAAAACGGCCTTCGGGTCGGGTCACTCAAAATTTAATTGGGCTCTTCCCCTTTTACTTGTTGATAAATTGACTCAAATGTACTTTATAATGATATCGTTGAAGACTCGAAATATATGGTATTTGTTATATTATTTTATGTGTTTAGTTTATATATATTGTGTATAGTATATATATTATAACGGTGATGGTCAAAAACATATTTGAATGTCCATTTTTTATACTTGAACTATTAGCTGTTCGTATTTTCTATCTAAATTCAAGGCCTACTCGAGTATAAAGCTACTAGAGCATTATTTTGGGCGCTAATTTTTTGGGATCTCTCATGGTTAAGTTTGAAATGAAAGTTTTGAGTAGAAATATAATAATTTTTTTTACCTTATTTAATGTAAGGATTGTTATAATTTATCATGAAATAGTCTGTATGCAACGACAATATCTTTATTGTAATTTAGTTTGTTTTTTCATTTATATCATGACGATTAACATGAACTTACATTATTATTCCTATATTTACATTATTCATTCTCCTTTTGACTATTCTTATCCTCTTATAGTTGAATATTCTAAACCCTCTCAAACGATCAAATATTCTATATCATACAAAATCTATTATTTAGCGTATACCCAAATATACTCAAAATAGTGGCAAAGATTTATTCTCAAAGCATTTCAATTTTCCCAAGTTAGTTGTAACTTGTATGCAAAAATATTGCCAATAGTGGTAATCATAGCACATCAAAAATATAAATTTAACATCCTTACTTCCTATGTTGCAGAAAATTGAACTCTTTCAGCTTTGCTCCTAAATTATGTAATCTCCCTCTTCGATTTTCGAATCATCATCGTACACGAGTGAGTGCTAGATAGGCCACAACTCTGTAGCCTACTAACATCACAGCCATGACCGAGACATCGATCCACATATTGTTTAAGCCAACTGATTCAATGGCAGGTAAGTTTGCAACTTGGCAATAGACTCCTTTTGAACATTCATAGTAGTCATTGTCATTGTATTGAACCCCTAGAAGCAACTTGTAGCTATAGTAACTATAACTCAAGTATTTTAACCAAACGATGAACGTGGGAATCTGTTGAATGTAGTATCCTCCAGCAATTAGGAATACTAATGTTGTTACTGATGCTAATGTAGTGGCTTGTTTAACATCCATGAGTAAGGCACCAAAAGCTAGCCCGAGGCTTTGTGAAACGAGGACGTTGTAGAGGACTACTAGGAGAGATAGGATGAAAGTAGTTGGATCAGGTTTGAGCCCTCCCATCCAGTAAAGGATGAACGTAAATGCTGTTGGTAATGCTAGTTCTAAAGGCAAATCTCCTACAGTTTTGGCTAGGAAGTATGACGAGAGACGATACATTCCTGATGATCTCTCTTTGATGAGCATTCTTCTTTCTTGTGGAAATGTGAAAACTGCATTATAGAGTGGATAGAACCCCCAAAATACCGCGAAAAAGAACAACATTGCAATCTGCAAAACAGTAAATCAAGTGTCATTGTTATTATTAGGACATCGTTAAATATAAACAAGGCCTGATTGTTGAAATGGCAAAAGATTAGCTCTGTTTACTTGACCAACCTAGTGTAAAGATTATAGGTAATTACATGTTTTCGTATGTGCAAATGACTTAAGGTGAACGGATAATATCTGACTCGATCTTCAATGTGGGATGTTGGAGTATGCCACCACAATAGTCCTGCAAGAAATGCTACACTTATAACTTGGAAGATCCTAAGCCTATTGAAGGTCTCGTGTCTTCGCTCCCTTAACCCTCTCATAAGTAGTACTTTGAATTGATGCATCCAACTCGTGCACCATTGCTCTAATTTCACGCCATTTCCTGCATCAATAGACACCACGATAGCTATTGTTAGGCACTGAATAAAGGCAATGAACGGTTTGTAGTTGCTTTTTTTTCATTGTAAATTGGAAACTTACTTGTAGAGACATCATTTGTGCAACTGTAGTTACCGCATACTTCAGTTTTCAACCTTGTAGAAATGTTCATTTCATACGCGGAGATGAGAGCTTCTCTCACCAACTTCTTTTCCTGTTCAGTACTGTCACCTTGATCGTTGCCATTCTTGGTATCAGATCCAATCCCTGAAAGATTTTAAGAAGTAAAAAATACCGTAATGAAAGGAACATAAGAGTTTGTCCAAATTGGATCATCCAGAATTTTGTTATGTGGAAACATGTTCATTTCAAGTGTGTTGAAGTGAAATGTCTTAATTACCATTCGCGAGATCGAGCAAGAGATCAGCTGGATTGATAGTGATAGATATGGAAAAACCAATAGAAGAGAAGTACTCCAAGGCAGTTGATGCAGGACCATAGTAGATAGGACATCCCTCAGAGAGCAAAACTACCTTATCAAACATATAATAAAGTCGATTAGACGGCTGATGGATCGTTGTGATCACAGTACGACCACCACTTGCTAGTCGTTTAACAGTGTTAAGGATCCGGAGTGCTGTTGTCGAATCAAGTCCTGAAGTTGGCTCGTCTAAAAGTAGCAAACTCGGGTTGATCAACATTTCTTGACCTATACTAACTCTTTTTTTCTCTCCACCTGATATCCCTCTAAACAATGGCCCCCCAATCATACTGTTTCTACACTTGTTTAATCCAAGTTCTGCAATAACATGCTCCACATGTCTCACTTTTTCGTCCCTTTCGAGGTTTTGTGGCAGCCTAAGCAGAGCTGTGAACAGAAGTGTTTCAATTACTGTAAGATGAGGATACAGGACATCATCTTGTGACACGAATCCTGTTCTACGTTTGATTGAACCCGAGAATGGCTGGCTGTTGTATGTAATCTTCCCAGATAATTTGCCCGAAAGGCGCCCTCCTAGTGCTGTTAGAAGGGTGGTTTTGCCACTACCTGATGGACCTAACATAGCTAGCATTTCTCCTGGATATACAGTGCCTGTCACTCCATTTAGTATAGTCTTTTCTTTTGTGTTTGATGATCCTCCACAACACATTCCTTTGTTTTCTTGACTAATCTTGTAAACAATCTCTTCAAACTGCACATTCAAAATGAAAACATAAGGAAACATTACATTCAACCTATGTTATTCGGACCTTTCAACAATCTAGCCAGACGCCAGTGTCAGGATTTTCACGTTTCAAAATATGTAAAAGTAAACTCTAGTATAGATAGATAAAAAGTAATTTAAACCATGTGTAAACACGGTAATTTTCCATCAAAGAGGGTGCCTTGAAACCACCTCTTCAGTCCTACCTAGCTCCACCCCTAGATCATGCACGGGGCCTACAACTCTTTTGGGAGGGTTCGAGCAACATAACATGAAACCATTAAAAAATTACGATAAGAGCAGAGTCAGAAAACTTCTACTATACTCAATTTATACAGTATAATTTTCCGACAAAGAATGTTCAGTTACCTTCAAAGTTATAGGATACATGGCCTTTTGTAAATAAGATTGTTGTGACTTGATCTGGACAGGTAAAGCCAGACATGACTTGTCATATTGTTTCGACGAATTAGGCGAATTCGTCGAAGCTTCCATCAAGTCTGTGCCACCATTTTCTGGTTTTGGTGTTACACCATGAAGATGCATATTGCCAATTATAGTTGAAACAACTTGAACTATATATGTTTGGTGTTTTTTTTAGTATTTGTGTTTTGGCTAGAAAAAAGATAGCTTAAGAAGAAGAAGTTAAAAGAGTTGGTTTTTTAACTTGAGTTTATTAAGTTGAATTGGACAAGCATATAAATATATAAAGAAAGATCTCTCTTGTTTGTGTTAAAATAAAGTAGACTATTTCACTTTCTTTTTCTTGTGGGCACTCACCTCTTTCTCTTAAAGTATTGTAACACAATCAAATATTACACTAGTCTTCTTCATGTTTACTTCGAATATTACACTAAATTTCTGGCATCATTGATTATGGCACTATTATAGTTTACCTTTAAAATAAACTTTGTCATTAGATATTTCTACCTGTGACATTTTTTATTTTGTTCAATTTTAATTTTCACTTGTCATTTTTATTGTAATAAAATTAAAAAAAAAATTATTTTCTTATCTATTATATTCTCAATTTATTTAGAATTTTAATATTTATGAAAAAAGTAAAACCTTTTTGACAAGTAAATTGATTTTGTAATTTTATTAATTAATAGAAGTAAAATATTAAATTTACTATGTTAATTATTTTTTTAATAAATATATAAATAAATAAGTAAATAGAAATCGAGGAAATAATTAACTATGATTATGAGTTCAACGTTGGATATAAGAAAATTAAAACCAAATTAATTGGTGGCAATTATTGTGGGGCTTTTTCTTTTTCCAATTTGCATTCATTTATACTTTATTGAGATATAGAACAATTATTCAAATTGAATATGTAATAAAATATTCGTATTACATATGACTTACAATTCAAACTTTGCAAAAAAGTTTATGTACTTGTTTTTAAACGTCTATTATTTAGATAATTGACTTAACTATATAAATTATATTATATTTATTAACCTTAATTGGGATAAGACATCATTTTTTATGATTTATTAAGGATAATCTTTATAATTGAAGTTGATCATGGCATATTTTAAATTTAACTTATCTACGTAATAAACATTTAAAAATATATGCAAATATTTTTCACTAAATTTTAAATCAAAAATATTTAATATGAATCTTTATCATAATTCAAAATAATAATAATAACAATAATAATAATAATAATATATTATTCATGCCACCCATGGGAAGCATTTTAAATTTATGCTTCTCACAAGTTGCTTCGCAATATATATGTAGCGAATAATAAGGTTCTTTTTCGACTATAAAGTAACGTAATGGGATGGACGTGATTTTTTTATTTATCAACATATATTTTTTATTTGAGCTCCGAAATTTTTTTTATTTAGCTTTTTCTTATTACTAAGGAAAATGTATTGTAGGAATCACGTCTACCTTGATATGCCTTGCATAACATTAAAAATTTAAATTAGTCAGACTATTAAATTTTGAATATCGCATGATAAATTTTAAAAAATAGAGAAATATATCTATTATATCGCAATTTATAGTAGGAGAAGTAAGTAATTTATTCTTTGTATATAATTAGGCAAAAGAATAAAAAAAAAGGTTCTTTTCCTTGTATTTGAAAATTGATTCTAATTCTAAATATATTCCCAAACCACCACCACCCTCCGTTAATATTCTTTAAACTTAAATATCAACATTTGTATCATCTTGTTGGTATACTTTTTTTTTTCTAATATTCATTAGAAAGTTGATGAAGTTAAATAGATTCTAAACAAATTGTTCTGATTCTTCTTATTATTTTTTTTAAAAAAATATATATATACTAATGATATATATAATTTGTTATTGTTATTGTTCTTTCATCGGATCTTTTATATAACTTTTTGATTACTATACTTAATTTACATATATATTTGTATTTTGATATATTTTACGCAAGACGATGGTCTGTTGAATTTCTACCACCAGAAGACAAGGATAGGAGTCAAGACTGTGATCTGCATACATTTTATTTATTATATCTCACTGATGAAATTACGATGGTTCTAATTTATCTCACTACTAGATAATTGCATTTTAGAATCTACTATTTTTCAACATAATGAATATTCTTAGATGCTTAAAAAATCCTATTATAATTCAAAATTCTGGATAAGTCGATTGACTTGTGTGAAAACAACCACAAGAACAAAAAAAAAAAAACCTTTACATTGTTTGGATATTTTTATCAAGCAATTTTGAAAAAATCATTTCTGAATTTGTTTTTCAATTAATGTATTTTTATATTTGGTTGGTCATTATTCTGAAAAATATCTTTGGTGAGAAAAATAATATAAATGGCTAAGTTATATACAAAAAAAATTAAATAATATTTTTCTTTACTCGTAAAAAAATATTTTCATTTTTTACCAAACACACCCTTCAATAATATTTCTTTTTTTTAAAAAAAAAAGAGCTCACCTCTTGGTTCTTTCCCTTTTTTATTTTTTAAGAAATGAATCATAAGTAATTATATTAAAAAACTAGTTCATGAGAAAGAAAATATTAACCATATAAAGAGGAGATCATTACTCATATTAAACATCAATGTATGACTACATCACACCCTCCTTCACAATCAAGACGAGACATTTGATATTCATGTTATTTCAATAAGATACTTTATTATCGAGTGAAATAAACTCTGTTACGATATTATATGAAAAATTAATCTTAAATATAGCTCAACATCAAAAATTAAATTATTGTATTCAAGATCATAAGACGGACCACTCATATACACTTTTTCTCTTCATTTTGTTATTATATATTCATTTAAATATATTTTTATAATCACTTAGACTAGATGAGAGAGGAAATGATTAAAAGAAGAACACATCAATCCAATTATTTGTGTCTATAAAAATATAATTTTCTGTATAGCACTTACCATGGGATATCTTTAATTGTGGAGCCATGCATTTCTTAGGTGTTTTAGTCTTTTGAAGAAGTGGATGGCTAGGGTTGTGGCATACCCCCACCCCAAAGTAAACATTTTTAATAGTTGAAAAAGTTTCTTCTTTTTAATTATCTAGAAAACTTTTACTTTGTTTATTTTAACGTTAATTACAAAAAAAAAATGATTGGATGATATGGTGGGATAACTAAATTATTAAAGGTAGATGATCATGTTTTGAAATTTATGAATATTTTTAATAATTTTATGTAAACTCAGAATATTACTAATTAAGTTCATAATCAATTGAATATAAATATATTATATATTTTTTAATATAAGTGCAAAGTATGAATAAAAATTATTGAATTTCTACGAATCATATATCTTTAAAGGGCTACATTTGTGTGTCCTTATTGAAATAATACTACTTTTTATATGTAACAACTCATTCTAAAGATTATTCATTTTGATCTTAGGTCCTTTACTACTATAAAAATATGTTACTAAATCTACAAATTATTAATTTCTTTGTACACACCATATAATTTTTGTGTTTTGCCGCTATTTCATGCACACTTGCAGCCGCAGATCGTCTTCTTCTCCTTTCTTTTGAAGTTTAATGTCGGAAATCGTATTTTCAGTCTTTTGTTGAATCTTTTTCACGGCTTGATAGATAATTTGATAAGCTAATAATTTTTTTTCGTGTTTCAGAGTACGATTAACCAACTTGTTAACTAATCGATTACGATAAATTGGATTGAATTTTGCTGGGTTTTTTTTCTGCAGTACCTCGATATGGAGTTTGTTATTAAAATATCACATCATTCTCAAATGACTCAAAATCAAAATTTAAAAATGTATTCTTTTTAATCAAGCAATGGTACTTTACTAGGTGCAAATTTAAATTAGTATATTCAAATTTAAATTAGTCAAATCTAATTTTTTTTTTTACACAAAGAAAATATAGAATACTTAAATAAAGAAAAAAACAAAGGAACTTTTTTGCACTTGCTTTTTTGACATAATTTTTACATATAATATATTCTCTCTTGCTTTACTTGGAAATCTTTTATCTATATATATAGCCCCATGTGGAAGATATTCTTTGCTCCCTACTCTTCCTAGCATCCATAAACACTAAATTAATTTGAGCTTTAGTAATAAATTTTTAAAAAAGTATATTAAATGTTAAATGTAATTAGCTGTTTTAAGTTTGAGTTTCACATTTAATTATCATCAACTAATTTTTTCATGTGCTTAAACTATGAAAAAGAAAAGAAATTCCACGTAAAGAAACGTATTGACAATATAATTAAAATAACAAAAATGTGTTTTATTAAACACAATTTAAATTTTTAGATGAAATAAATCCACACTTCAATATGATATAAGCAGATACAAATTAATTTTGAATTAGAATCGCATAATTTATCATTATCGAACAAAATAATAACAGGTTGACACGTGAAGAGATGTGTTTGACAATAGCATATTATATAACTTTCATTGGATGAGAATATTAACCAAAAGTTTGTTCATGTATTAGAGGAGTCAATAGAAGCATTTCCACAAATTCTTTTTTTTTCTCTCTAATTTAATTCTCAAAATACCTTTTACATAAATAAAATTCATAACTTATAAATTGGTGCTTCTTTTTTTTTTTTGGTAGAACATCGAAGACAATTTATTTATTGTACCAAAAGTACAACTTATCTCCATACTATTTATTTATTCATAAAACCAGTTTTAACACTTTATAATATCACCAGGTGTTTATTGGTTTGTATTATCATGAGTTCAATATTATGAAATTATTTGATGATAGGGTGTACATAGTCGATTTAAGATTAATTTATTTACATGATAAATATTTAACAATATATATTAAAAAAGATTCACAATTTTAATTAAAAGTGTGTGAAGAGAATATTTTCTTATTTGCTCAATTAAAATAAATATATATATCGGAATATTTATTATCTACTCAATTATTATATACTCTTTCATTTGAATTTATTCATTCTATTTTTATATTAATTTATGTGATAATATTAGTTGGATACGAAATTTAAATAAATAAAATTTATAGTTACCTCTCATCTCCTTTATACATACATACATACATACATATATATATAATCAAAAATTTCAAAAGTCTATAATATCCTTTTTATTTTAAATAATCTGATTTTTATTTTATTTTTTGATTAATTAAGTGTATAAGTTAAAAGGATAAATGTTAACAAAA